CACCGGCCCTGAAGATGGAGGTGACCTGCCTGCTACTTCTGGCGCTGATCCCCGTGCACTGCCGAGGACAGGGCGTCTACGGTAAGAGCCCGCGCCCGCGGCACGCGCGTTAGCACCGGCGGAAACTTTGCAAGAGGCGCAAAGCGCGCGTTGCGGGGTTTGGTGGGGACCCCGGCGGCTCGCACTCTGGAGGGGATGCCCGGGTCCCCGCCCTTTCCCAGGCGCGAGAAGAGCGAACGAGCTGCTTCGGAGCACAGAGGCGGGTCGTGGGGTCTGGCGTGAAGCTGGTGATGCCAGGGGGAGGCACCCACTTTCTCACACCCTGTCAGAGGCGGGAGTGACTCCGAACCCCGGAGAGCACCCAGTCGGCTGGCTCCGGAGACCCCGACAGACCTCAGGCCGGGGCTGGGGCAGCGACTTGCACCGAAGCCTGGTTTACCCCGGCTCGGCCTGGGGAGCGGAAACCGAGCGATGTGTGACCCGGAGTTGCGCGTGGTTTGCGCGAGAGCTGGCAGCCGGCACCGCCACGGAGCCGCGGGCTCGCCTTCCGCGATCTCACAGAGGCTTCGCTTCTTTTAGTCGCTTCTTGGCAACCCGAGCGGTTGCCACATCCCCCGGATCCGCAGCCTAAAGCCCCGGCATCCCTTTTCGGACCTCTCTGGAGCCAGTTCTTCCTGCCTCCGCTTCCCAGCTACAAAACCCCAGCCCCACCTTTCGTTCCCTGTGCGCGCGCACACATACACACACACACACACACACACACCCACACACACACACACACAGACACCGTCCCCCCAAAACGCAGACAAGGCACACACCCACCCGCTACGCCTCCAAACGCTGCCTCCTGCCCGGCAGCTTTGCTCCCGCGTCCCCACGCCTCGCTCTTGGGCGCTAAGGGGACTCCAGTCACCCCTTATCCCGTCTTTTCCGTGGGTTTTTCCCGGGGAAAGGTCCCCAGAACAGGCATCACCGCTCTCAGGGACCCTCCCTCTGACTTCTAGCAGCCCCGGAATGCCCCGACCCCGCCGCACAAAAAGTCAGTCTCTGGGCCCAGCGGCCCCTACTTCGCTTTCTGCTGACTGCAGGGCAGTCTGTGCGGCCACTTTTTGATGAAGTGAGCTGGAGTGAGTGGGAGGATTCTCTTTCTTTCTGAGGTTGAGGGCGTAGTTCCTGCCTTTAAGATGGGGGGGGGGGGGGCGGGAGAGTTTGGCCTGTTCTATTGGTGGGGGTCGGACGCTTTGTCCCTCCCCATACATTTTTGGCTACCAGCCTCAGGTGCAGATGCTAAATGCCTCCTTCTGGGGGTGCCTCACAAGAGGGAGGGGTGCCCTGAGGGGTTTCTGGGAGGTGACTTGCTAGCTGGCTTGGGTTTAATTCCCTGGGGAGGCTGGCCCAGGCATCTGGCCAAACTCTGCTTCTTAATTAGTTTGTGTGTCTCTTACTGCCTGGCCCTTTAGATATAGGCCAGAAAAGGAAAGACGAGGAAGAATGAGAGAGGCTGGGTTATGGGGAGGAGGCCACTGAGTGGGTCCCAGAGGCCTCAGCCCCGCAGGGGTTGTGTGTGTGTGTGTGGGGGGGGGCGTCTTCCTTCCTCTTTCTCCCCAAGGTTTCTCTTCAGCCTCCCTGTTCCTTAGGAGGAAGCCTAGAGAGGGACATCCGTGAGGTCTCCCCCTGTTTTTCACCACACCCAGGAGGTCTGTAGAGTGACTGAGAGCCCTCCTGTTGGCTGCTGTCCCCCACTCTCCTCCCTCTGAGTGCCCTTGGGCAGACCTGGCATGCCCATCTCCCGGCCATGGCCATCCCCTTCCTCCATTCCCTCCACCTCCTCCAGCCTCCTCCAGGGCTGCATGGGGCACATCTGGAGGAACCCCTAGCAGTGAAGGCGGGGAGTGGGAGACAGGTGCAGTGGTCTCTGCAGACCCTGATTTCAGAGTGCTTTGGGGCCAGGGTTGAGTCGTTGGCTCACCTGCCCCCTTTCTGGGTGTTTTCTCCCCTCCCTGAGTCCAAGCTCTCTCACTCAGAGTGAGGTAAGTGGGTTGTGTGCATTGGGGCCAACCCCTGACTCTTGGATGACATTCTTTCCACCTGCCCTTTGAGAGTGTGGCTCCAGGGAAAGACTGGGGCCTCGGGGGAATTGCTGGGTGGAAAGTCTTTATGGCGGTGGATGGAGAGAAAGGAAGATCTAGTTTGAGGGGGAGGATAGCAGGAGGCTACTGAGTTCCTTGTGAAGCTTTGGCCAGATATAGCCAGAGAGAACCATCGCAGGGCTGGGGCTGGGGTAAGGAGTAGTATGGAGAGCTGGTTTTCTGCTCCCTCCCCAACTTTCCCTCTATTCACAAAGCAGATGAAGCAACTTGAGAAAGAGTGGAGTGCAGGTGAGAAATGGTCAGGCGAGTCCATCCCTGTGTGCCAGCATCCAGCATGGTGCCTGGCACACAGCAGGAGCTCAGCAAATATTTGTTGCAAGAATGAAGGGCCATGGTTTGGGGGGAGTTGGAAGAAATGCTTATTGAAATTCTTTCTTTCCCAGGTGTCTCCCTAAGATGGTTTGTTTGCACAGGGCAGTTGGGCATTCTTTGAGGGTCTCTGCTTAGGGCGAGTCACAGTCTTAGGCTGGTGGCTATAGGCTGGTGGCTATAGATAGGGGGGAACTCAGGCTGCAGAAGAGAGAGGAGGCTGGAAGCCCAGTGCTGCCCTGGCAGCTCGGAGGGAGGCAGTTTTTACTCAAGACACACAAAAAACAAGTGTGCCCTGGGGAGGGAACCACCAGCCCCTTCCCCTCTGCTCCCAGGCTGGTGTGGCTGAGGGAGGAGCAGATTAGCAGACATGGAAGCTGAATTGGAAAGAGGGAGGAAGACTGGGATGTGGAGGGCAAACCCTGCCATAATCTGGCCTGAGCTGGGAGTCTCTGCTGAGGCTGGTAGGAGGCAGGGGCCTGGAGACCTATGTCTGCTTCCCTCTGAGGGTCCTCTTGCCAGACCCAAGCTGCGCTGCTGCAGTGGGACCGGGGAAGCGCTCTCAACTGGCCAGGTGGCTTTGCTCTTCTTTGGGGCACAGATGCTATAGCAGCTGAGTACCAGACCAGATGGTCCATTTGGAGCTGGTTCCCTCTTTCCTCCCAGCCTCCCAATCTCCTGGCCCCGTTTGTTGTGCTCCAGGGTGGATCCTGTGAGCTTCTTTCCGGCAGGCCAGGGGTGGTGGGCTGCCCCAGAGGCCTAGTTCTAGGCAGAGGGAGTAGCCAAGGGATGGAGGAGTATCCTTCATGAGGATACACCCGCCCTGGCTCATCTCCGCCCATAGCTGCCGGACTTCCAGCGAGGGGCGGGTTGAAGGGATTCCTCTCCCTTAGAAAAACACAACAAACCTCGGGATTATTTAATATGCAGGAGTGGGAATTGACATTATCCTTAAGACAGGTTGTTTGCAACTTACTGGTGGAAGTCAAAATATTTCACCAAAGGTGTCATCAGAAACTACTATCCTATGCTAATTTTTGTGGGAACATGAAGACAGATGTTGAATAATTTGACAAGAGCAACATAGCTTACAGAATTATCACCAAGTCAGGTTTTTTTCCCCTCCTCTGAGGGTTCGGAGAAGGAATTTCAGGAAGTGTGCCTCCCAGCGCCGCCTTCTGGGTGTTGATCTAGGTGTGGGCACTCGGGATTTTTCACTAGTTTCCACCCCAGGCCCAGAAACTGCCTGTCCAGATCGGACTCTCCCCTGGGAGAAGGCATCGCATTGGAAAACTCTGGGGGGTCAGGGCTGACAGAAAGCTGAGGGCTTTGCAAATGTCCTCAAGAAGGTCCAGGCCTCTGTCCTCCCTTCCTTCTCAGTTATAGCAACTGCAGGAGGGAGAGGGTCTTGCGTCTCCAAATCCAGGCGCTTTTGTTTGCTTTGCCAGCACTGTCTGTATCCCCCATTGAGGTTGGCCCCTGAGCCTGCTTGAGGGCTCCCCCGTTCTGGAGTCAGACCCAAGAGCCGCCCCCCCCCCCCCACTCTTATATTT